GGAGACTAATAGAACCAGTGATAGAAATAGGGAGATAAACAGAGTTTGGGAGGAAAGTGCTGAATTTGGTTTTATTGTGTAGAATTTGAGATGAGCTATCTAAGGGGAAAAGTCTAGTAGCTAAGGGGAAGACTTTGCCTAAATGCACACAGATGTGGGTCCTTGTTGTGGAAACAATGCTGAAGCTGCATTTTCCTCGAGGAAAATGGTAACAAGTGAGTACAGGTGTATGTCCCATGATCTGGATTTTAGGGAACATTGATAGATGGTAAAATTTAGAAAGAACAACAATTTATTCCTTGGTTAAGTTTCATCATCCTGTCCCTTATTATCTGAAGTAATTTCATTGTGATTTGATCATGCCACTCGTTTTTCTCTGAGGTAATAGTTGTTATTGGACTCTTATCTTTTTCTCCTTTTCCTATACACCCCTGAAATGCAACAGCTGTGCAGAATCGGGATGCTGCCTGGTACCAGTTGCTGTTAGCCCCTCTCAGTGAGGACCAGAAGAGAACACTGCAGGAGGTGTACACATTGGCAGAGCACCGAAGGACGGTGGCAGGTCAGCCACTCACTTTCACATGTGTCAGATTGCTGGCAGCCAGACTTCTTCAGTGTCCTAGGGGGCACCTAAATATGCTTTTTAAATTTTTAGAATATGAGGAGTTGTCATCATTGAATGGTTGTTCTTTTTAATCATTTCCAATATCTTAGATTTGCAAAAATCTGTTCATTATGTGTTTATTAGTGGTATTCCCATTCAGATCCTTATGTTATTTTGGAGGTATAGGTAAAAAGTAAGGGTAGGCATGAATCTTGCTGAGGGAGACTTAATCAGATGGACACCTACCTAAACATCTTAACCACAGGTAGACCAAAGTCTCTTTATGAATTCTTGCAAGGAACTTGTATTCCTGTAAATGAAATACTACATTAGTCATCTCTTTGTTGCTGTGACAAAATGTCTGAGAAAATTAACTTATAAGGAAGGAAAGTTTATTTTGGCTTCTAGTCTCAGAGGCTTCAATCCATGGTCACTTGGCCCTGTTGCTGTTAGGCCTGTGGTACGGCTGAATATCATGTAGGAGTTTGTGGTGGAGGAAACCTGCTCATCGAGGTGGCTGGGAAACAGAGGAAGGAAGGAGCCAAGGCCCAGTGTTCCCTTAAAGGGCATGCCCCTGTTGACCTAACTTCCCGTAACTAGGCCCCACCTCTTGAAGGTTTCATCCCCGCCTAGGAGTGCCAAGGCTGACAACCAAGCCTTCAGCATGTAGGCTTTTGGGGAATATTTACAATCCAAACTGTAACAAATGCTTTCCATTTATATTTGTTGGGCTTTTTGTGTTGGTGACTCATGTTGATTTTCAGTTTTTAAGCTAAAGAAATTATTTTATTTTTATGTTGAGATTGTTATGGTCACGCCTAGATTAGCAATGGAAAAGACTTTGTGATCAAAAAAATATTTTGGTAGAAAACATCATGGATGGGCGTCTAGAGTTGAGAACTCTGGTTCTTCACAAACTTAGGTCTTCGGATTTGGTATCGATCCTCCTGCTATGAGAAGTCTGGTGCCTTTTCAGCAGTAGAGACAGTGAAGCTATTGGAATCTATCTTGAGATTTGTTTTCATTTCACTTACTGCAGTAATGTTTTTCTGTGATAGTAAACATAATTACTTATTGATGTGCTCCTGCTAAAGGCTGGCATTCAATTTGGCCAGGTAACAAATACCATACATCACGGTTCTTCAGTTCTAAGTATGCAAAGAATCTGGCTCTTTTGAGATTCTTTCCAACTTTGTGCCTTATGGACTCTTCTGTTTTCTTCCTCTTTTTTTTTTTTTTTGAAAATGCTAGAGGCAAAGAAGAAGATTGAACAACAGGGAGGCTTCACATTTGAAAACAAAGGAGTTCTCTCTGCCTTTAACTTTGGGACTGTGCTGGGCAACAACTGAAGGAAGGACATCAGCTGACCAGACGTCTTCGCTGTGTTTTATCTCACAATTTCACAAAGGGAGTGTGAGAGTCAAGGGGAGATATTAGGGGGCTGCTCTTCAGGGCTCTCCTGCTGTACCAGTTATCATCTGGCATTAGGCAGTACTTTTATCCACTCTCCCTTTCCCCTTTGACCTTTCTCACCCTGAAATATATATTTTCAACAGCTACTGTAATGTATGAAATTAAAGAAAAACAGAATCATTGCATTGAAAAGGACAAACCATATGCTCCAAAGGCTGACAGCCTATGGTGGTTTTTAGAGGATTGGATTGACTTGCAGGTCTCAGGTTTTTGCCATGCAGAATCCATGGATTTATGTGGATAACAGTGCCTTCTATTGTACATGAATTATCAGAAAAATTTTTTTGGAGTGCATTGCAATTTTTTAAAGCATGAAACATATTTCTAGATATAATGTAAACCTTGGTTATATGTCGACTTATTCTGCATTTTACTCTGTGAATTTACTGTTAGGCAGTTAGCTGCAAGTCGCTCTGGTTTCAAAAACATCACTCTCCCTTTGCCCACCCTGCTATGGGGGCTTTCTTCAGGGGTTGTAAAATATGCTCTGGCTCTGGTTTTTCATAAGTTGTTTTTTGGCTTTCCTAAGAAATGTCTTATTCCCTCTTCCATCATATTTTTCTTCCTTGAAAGGGGTGGGATTTCTTTCAGGATCAACAAATATGCATATCGATTTTATCAGAACCTGATACGTTCAGGACTCAGGAGCTTCTTGGAAGCAAGTGGCAGAGGCTCATTAGTCACTGGAGTTAACAGCAAGTCTGAAGATATTCTGAATCATGTACTTAATTATGCAGTGAAGTAATGATTTTACCTAAAGCACATTGAACTTTTAGGAGAAAGATGCTGCGTAGCACAGTGTCTTTCTGGATGGGGGCTTGTATCTTCAGTAACTCATCATTCCAGCTGTGGTGGACCAGGGTCTGAACCATTTTATAATGAAATTGTTTATTTAGTCACACGACTTAAACAAGTGTAACTTGCTTTCCCACACTTCTGATTTTTCTCCTACATATCTTGTTTTCGTTTTTATTATAGCTCTGTTTGTAAGGGTTGGGTATATTGGTCAGTTGTATTTTTAGATGGGTAATGATCTAGGACGGCTTTTAATAAATATTGCAGATGGAGAATTTTTCTGAACTGTTCAAGACCAGAACATGGATCACAGTGTGTTCATTCAGTAAAATGAAAATGTATCTTGAGAATTTACATATTACTGGATGTGATACAGATTTTCCATTTTTGTGAAATGTCTGCAGTTTAAATTTTCCATCAGTGACTGGTGGAATTTTTTTTCCCAGGTGCTTCCTATATTACTATCCTTTATTCATATTAACTCTTTACAATTTTAGATTATTTAAATAATTTTCACAGAAGTAGCCTGAAAAGCCATGAGTTTCAGAATTAAATAATCCTCTGCTTTCCCATCCCTCACTTCCCAAGGCATTGAAGCTGAATCTTATCCTTGTCAGTTAAGAGAAAGATGGCATTGTTGGGAATGTTAGGGAACTTTGGAACTCTTATTGTGCCTGACACGAGCAGGACTGCAGCGAGGTCCCGTGATCGTCCATGGACATCCATATCGAGCACACCACATCCAAACACAATTTATGGTGGACGTTTGGTTTGCTTTTGTACATCTGTAAGCCATTCCAAGACCCGTACTGCAATCCACCATATTACATACATATTTTCCATTTCTCAGTGGCCCAATATAATCAATCTGCACCAATTGGTTAAATCCTGCTGGGGCCGTTCTTGTGTTTGGTGGGTTGCGTCTGAATCTGGTCCCACTGGCCGCACATTTTTTGCAGCCAGCGATTGCTTGCTTACATTTACTCCAGGTCGCCTTAATGTTTCTAGAGTTGAACCATTGGTACAGACCATGTGTTCCAATGTGTCCAAGATTCACATGAATTTGTCTGATTTCATCCAATGTGATATCAGATTCCATTGGGGGTTTAACCACATGCCAATTAGGTCTACATTTTAAAGTTAGCTTTATATCAGAGGCTTTATCTACCTCCCATTGGTTTGGATTTCTCAACTTAATAGCAGTTACTTGTGCTGGAATTTTGCTCAATTTATCCGCAATATCGTTATTCTTAGAAACATCATCCTGGCGTCCTGTATGGGCGTCCACATGAGTAATCAGGATTTGGATTGGAGCTTCCGCCAACCATTTCCATGTATCTTTTCCCCATACATCTTTACCATTTATCATAAAATCAGTTAATTTCCACTTTGCTGACCAAATTGTAATACCATTACACACCGCCCATGAATCTGAAAATATATGTACATATTTTATTCCCTCCTTTATGGATTCTTCCACCGCAAGGCAGACTGCTAAAAGTTCAGCCAACTGGGCAGAATCATCTGAACCTTCTTTAGATAGAATTTTACCATCACGGGGCCTAAATGCAACTGCTTTCCATTTTGTTTTCTTTCCTATCACTGCACTGGAGCCATCCGTAAACCATGCATTAGCATGTGTCTTGGATGCTCCCCATTTTCCAATAGGTGCTACTTTAGGTTCCATTATCGCTACCGGGACAGGTATCATAGGCTGGATGTTCACACTTTCAGTTAATTTTGTAATTTTTGAACTCCCCATCATTGATGTATCCTGAGCTAGGTTATTTATATACCATTGCCATTGCATTACCTTCCCTTCAATTGGTAACCCTGTTAATGTATTATCTGGCATCTTAGCCCAATCTAGTATAGGCATTGGGCATCTCATCATTACCTGCCTATCAGTTATACTGAACCCTAGCGACTGAAAAGCACAATAAGCCGTCCAAACGGTTTTTTCAAAGAAAGAATACTTATTTTCTGCATACAGAAAACGTTTAGAGTAAAATCCAACCGGCTTTGTCTGCCCGTGACTCTTTGTATAAATGCCCCAGTTACCAAAACCATTGGCAAACACAACGTCCAGGATAATCACTTCTCCCGGCTATGGCACATACAATTGGGAAAATGTTTTTACATACTCAATTGCCTGACGAAATGCAGTTTCCTGTGCATCCGTCCATACAAAATCTGATGCTTTCCTTATTATTTTATATATTGGCACCAACAACACCTGCAGATATGGAATGTGTAGTCTCCAGTATCCTAAAATTCCTATCGCTTGTTGTGCCATAGCTTTGTTTTTAGGTGATGCCAGGTTCTCTATCTTGTTTATTACAGCTGGTGGCACTGAAGGACCATTAGCATTCCATACAATGCCTAAATATTTTACAGATGTGCTTGGTCCCTGAATCTTTTCTGGGTTTATACTCCATCCTGCCTCCACTAGGGTCTTCACTAACATATCTTTGGCAGTAGTTAGGGTATCCTTACTCCTACCAGCTAATAAAATATCATCAACATACGTCCATATTTTAGTGTCTCTTGGTAACTGTAATTCCCCTAATGAAAGCTGTAAAGCATTATGTGCTATGATTGGACTATTTTTATATCCTTGTGGTACCCTTGTGAACTGGTATTGTACCGAGTTCCATGTAAAAGTTGTCATTTCTCTACTATCCTTGTGAAGAGGTACCGTGAAGAACATATCACTTAAATCTATTGCACAAAAACATGTAGGCGAAAAGCTTCTAATTTCTGTATATATTCTCTCAATATCGGGCAAGGAACCCGGCATGGTGGGAGTCAACTTGTTCAAATTTCTATAGTCTACTGTCGGTCTCCATTTCCCATTTGGCTTCTTAACTGGCTACACTGGGCTATTATAATGGAAGGATTGTGTCCTTTCTATTATTCCTTTACTCAATAGGTCCTTAATTGTCTCTGAAATTTCCTTATGCCCCCCTTTAATTAGATATTGTTTAGTAAAACACTGTGGTACTTGTGGCAGCTTTACTGGTTCTATTTTTACTTCTGGAATGCTACCTACATAGCAACTCTTAAGTCTCTTGATAAGCAACCATTCTCCAAACAGCATTCTTATCTCATTTATTCCTAATACTGAATGTGGTACTTCGCCCACCAAGACTGACACTTCCATTTCCTTATCATAAACCAGCAACCGCACTGTACACCGCTTCATGCTTTGGACATGTCCAGACACTCCCTGGACGTTTACACTTTCACCCTCTATTTTCCTATTTACAAAATCATTTCTTATAATAGTTATTTCGCTTCCAGTATCTACCAGAAACGAATCTGAACATGTTTGTCCGTCTATAATAAAAGTTAGTTGGATAAACGGTCTCGAATCCGTGCTCCAAAACACGCAGCATCGAAATGCGGTTTGCTGAAGCGATTTCTTGTTGACCAATTCCGTGCATTTTGAGGGTCTTGGTATCGGGGTTCTGTGTTCTTTCGGTTGTAATTTATCCCTCCTATCTTGTTTTCTGACTGTCCTCGGGGGTTGATGTCTGGACCCCGTATCCTCATGTTTGTAAATTTCTGTCCTTGCCACCCTTGTCCTGGTCTTAAAGCTCTCCAGTCTCTTTTTTCCTGACGTCGCCTCTCCGGGAATGGCCGGCTGAGTTGGAGTCGTCGTTGGCCAGACGCGACTCCCCCGGCGTTTTTTCCCATAAAGGTTAGGGTAGCCTCAAAGGACATTTTACTGTCTATCTGTAGTTCCCTATGTTGTTTCAGAAATTCCACCACATCCCACAGGTCTGTGGCTCCAGCTAACATAGTGGAAAGTAGCACCCAATGTGGTTCGGGTGCCCCCTTCACTATTATTCATCTGAGCATTGGAGTTAATCTACATCTTAACGGTGGTCCTTGATTTTCATCATATATTTTGCAGAAAACTCCTAACTTCTTCACCATCCTTATTCCTTCTGTTGGAGTTCTCCACTGGACCTTGCCTTCAAAAGCTCCCAGATCTAACTGGGGAATCCCTTCTGTCCAGGCACTAGATATCCAATTAAACAACGTTTTTACCTCTAATGGCTCTTCCTTGATCATTCTCTGTAGTGCCTCCATTACTCCAGGGTGTTCTATCTGAATGCTTACTATTGGCATCTCTCGTCCAGAGAGTCTAAGACTCTCTCCTCCCTTTGACCATACATTATACAAAAATTCTCCATTGGTTGACCCTTTCTGTGAGAAATCTTGTCTCAACTGCAACATTTCTGGTTGGGTCATATCCCTCGTTTCTATCGTCTGCTCCAACCCGTCTGGGCGTCCCCTTCCGGGCATAGATGTTTTAATAATTGAGACCGATTCTGACTTATAACATGGCTCATTATCTAGTATATCTTGTAGGAATGGGTTTTTACATTTCTTAAGAGCTTCCTGGACTAGGCATTTTCCTCTAAGTCTGTCTTCATCTACATCGTTAATGATCTTACATAATATTCCCGGGATTTCATGTTTATCAGCCCTTTCTATTATAGGCTTTACTGTTTGTGGATTGCTTAACGCTATTTCCACGGTGGTTTCCTTTTTGGAACTCAGGCATCTTTGCCTGAACTACCTTTTCTAGTGGCGGCCATGGCGACTGAGGCTTTAGCTCACTGTTCTCTAAACTTTTCTTCCTTATGGTGCACCTTTTTAATTTTGCTATTGCCTCACGTAGGCCCATTTTACTATACTCAGATATATCCTAATCTTATATAAAGACCAATTCCACTGGATCCAGCTATATGTTTCTATATTGCCCAGGAGCCTACTTAAATTCTCTTCCCACTTTACTTGAGCCCAAGCTCCTATCCTTTCTTTACACCAGCTCATTCACTGGGGGCCGCCGTCACCGTGAAGGGTTAAGCGGGTGCGCTCCCCTCCTCACTCCGTTGGGTTCCCGGGTGCTGGACGATCACGGTCACTTCGGTCCACAAACGGAGGTAGGATTGCGAACGTGCGTTTCAGGGAAAGGACTTACCCCCAGGTTCCTTGTGCGCTCCCCAGATCTTTGTCGATGATGATGGTGATGATGATGATCCTGCCAACTGACACGAGCAGGACTGCAGCAAGGTCCCGTGATCGTCCCCAGGTGGTCCTGGAGTCAGGATCGCCTCTGCTCCAGGTAACCGCTCCCAGCCAACGATCCGTGTCCTGAAGAAAGAAGTCGCTGCACACGATATGCCTTTTTGAATGCTCCGTTTATTCACACCAGGTTTCATCACATCACTCGAGGCACAGGAACAGAGACTGGCGGGGCTCAGTTCATTCGATGTTGACCCACTGGCATCGTGGATCTGAACTGACCAAAGAGCTCAGCCTTCCTGGCCCTTAA